TACCGCAAAAAAAAAAAAAAAAAAAGTTGCTCTATGCCCACCATTGTGCAGGCACAAGGGGAGAAGCAGATGTGAAAAATATGGCCTTTGTTCTGAAGGTGCTAATAATCTATGTAGAAAGAAAAGATGTGTAATTAATGTGTATACTCACACAGACCTATCTGCATACCTATACAATACTATATAGAGATATCTTTTTAAAAACACATCAGTAGTCCAGGTCTGTAGGATTGACAGTTTGTAGAGTTGAAACATGTTTTAGAGATCACATATAGCTCTATACTTCAGGGGGACTAGATTTCAATACTTCAGGCAGGCATTTGCATAAGAGAGACAAGCTCTCATGGAATAGTGGAGAAAGCTCTAGACTTAAGGTTCAAAGTTCACAGTTTTGAATTAAAGTCAGAGCTCTAGTAAGCAGTGAATGATAGTTAATTATAGGAAAAATAAGATTGTTGGTTAGAGTCAGTCAGATTTTAAATTCATTTACTAAGTTTTGAGTAACCTAAATTTGTTATATATATTTATAGTTTTATACCATATAAATATTAAAATGGGTAATAAGTGCCTTAGCTTTATATGCCAATATTGGGTTAATACCTTCTGTTACTTTTCTTTGTATTAATACATGTAATTTGCATATATTTAGCCTAAAACACATTTTTACTACATTTAATTGATTTGAATATCCAGCTGACACACCTTTTTTTTAACATGCCTGCTTTTGTAAATGTCTCTCATCTTGCTTACAGTGGTAGCAGGAGATATGGAGGGTCTTTTTGGGTAACTTCCTCATCACTGCTGTGGGAGTTCCTGTTGCTCATTGTAATAGTTTGCTGGGGTTGCCATAACAAAGTGCCACAGACTGGGTGGCTTACACAACAGAAATGAATTTTCTTACAGTTCTGGAGGCGAGAAGTCCAAGATCGAGGTGTTGGCAGGATTGGTGTCTATTGAGGCCTCTCTCCTTGGCTTGTAAATGACAGTCTTCTTGTGTCTTCACATGGTCTTCCTCTGTGCCTGTCCGTGTCCTAATCTACTTTTCTTATAAGCATGGCAGTCATATGACATTAGGCCACCCGCCCCCAACAACCTCATTTTAACTTATCTCTTTGAAGAACTTGTCTCCAAAATATAGTCATATTTAAGGTCCTAGGGGCTATGGCTTCAACATACAAACACAACACAGCACGTAGATCTCATGTCCTGTCACCTCTAAAGTCTTCTATTACAACATACCAAACTTTCATCATGAACTTCTGTCTTTCCAGCTCTATCACTAACTTCATCAAGATTTCCAGTGTTGGACTTTTTGTTCTCCAGAGTCATCATTTGTTTATGACTTTTACTTAACCTTCCATCCACTGATGTCTCCAATATTGGGTTAATACCTTCTGTTACTTTCTATAGGACGTTGAAGGTGAGGTCAAGAAAAGGAAGGACCTCGTTTCTGACAGCTATCCCATGATTATTGCATTGAAAAGTTATTTTACCAGAATGCTGGGCAGACAGGAATCTTTATTTCACCAGCTTGGCAGAAAAATGGCCACAAAGTCATTTTTGTTTGTATATTTCTCTAAAATTTTATTATCGTATATAAACTTTTTTTATGGAGTAAAAAATTGTGTTTTTTTTTTCTTTTTGTCACATCTTTGTCATTTGAACATCGTTTCTCATTAGATCATTTATTGGTCTTGATTAGAAGATTGATTAGAAGATTGTGGGCCTTCCTTTAATCTATCCTGGGCCTGCTTCATACAGAGGCATAGAAATTTAGAATGGGAAAGGAGCTACAGATTATCTAGGTTAATATCTATTCTATCACATATAGCCACTAGAATAATACCTAGCACATGGTAAGTGCCTAAGAAATTTTAACTACTATTAGTAGTAGAATTTAAACCCAAGTAATTTGACTTTCAGTTCGGTAATTCCTTCTCAGAGGTTTTAGAGCCAAAAAGAAACTTGCCGAGTCTTCTTCTACTTAGTTCATTTCATTCATCTCCCCCCACTCAGATCCTCAATTCTTGATTCACTTCATTTTTCTTATGTCCTTTCTCTCTTTTTCTTCTCTTTTTTCCTAAAAGTGGAGAAGACAGAATAAATTCAAAGAAATTGAGGGTTACGCTTAAAAACTTCTTATTTTATTGTCCTTATCAGGGCCAGCCTGAGGTTTTCTGCCATCTTTTATAAAATTTATGCCTGGCATAATTCTGATTTTTTTACTGCCTTCTTCGTGCAGATACACACCCAATCTCATACTGATGGAAGCACTACTGTTTCTTCATGGCAAGACTTTTAAAATTTCTGGAAACTTTAAAAGCATGGAATAAAAACTTGTGAGTGTAAGTGTAGATGGAAGTAGGAAATTTGGGGGGAACAGTGGCAACACGTGCCAAGGTTTTTGGCACCCTTCAGAGAATTAAAGAATTTACCTCTTTTTTTAAATAGTTGCAAAGGGGAAAAAACAAGGTAGCAGGCACAGTTTGCTCATAAAAGTGAGCAGGTTTGGTAGATAAATTTAAAGATGTGAAGGCCAGGACAAATTCCTTAATATAATTTGTGTCCCTTTACCCTCCAAACATACACTCATGTTGGGAGGCGGAGAGACTAGTAAATAAAAAGGTGAAGCTTTAGAAAAGTAAGGTTTTTCATATTGTTGTTTTCTGTGTCAGTCCTCTTACAGTTTTGTGGTAGAGGCTAAAAAGAGGGGAAGAATCAATACTACAGTACATTTGGTAGCCCATCTTAAAATGGGATTATTTGGACCCTTTGAGAACTTCTGTCAAGCCAGAGTGTGCAGGATAAAGTTAAAGGATTGGGGCTGTTGGCTGTTCTTCCCGTTACCTTTGAGTGTGGCCTGATGAACAGTGGAACTTTTTAAAGCTTAAATAGAGTCTTAGTGCTGTTGAATATATGCTTCAAGATTTATATCTGATTTCTAAATCCTCAAAAACATTTTAATAGCTTGTTAAAGAGAACTATATTTAAGACTTGTGTAGTGTTCTGTGTGTTTATGTATGTATATTTCCTGCCACTAAAGATTGAATTATATCCCCTGTGCCTAGAAAATAATATTTGTTGAAACAAAACAGATGATGATGTGAGATTTAGCTTATTACTTTGGTTTGCGACTGCCTTTTAGGGCTTTTTGTGTGTGTGTGACTTCTTGATTTTTTCCTTTTATTTTATTGGATGGCATTATTAACTTTGACTTCATGAGACTCCCAGTTCTATTTCTGCCATGATTTTATAATCTGTGTTTTTAAAGTTGAGTTACTTTTTATACAAAGAAAGTAGCAATATCCATTTAATAACAGGTTTTATGAGGAAGAACCCGATTTGCTTTGTTTTAATCAACCTTTCTTTTCTCTTTTCAGAGGACGTTAAGCAAGTTTTTGGACAGACTACAATTCATCAACATATTCCATTTAACTGGGATTCAGAATTTGTGCAACTACACTTTGGAAAAGAAAGAAAAAGACACCTGACATATGCGGAATTCACTCAGTTTTTACTGGTGGGTCTAGCCCTTATAAAAAGTTAAAAAGAGTGAATAAGTAAAACTAGGATCGTGATGCACATTTGCTAACCCTGGCCAAACCATCCTATTTGGAAGTATTTCTTTATTAGTATGTAGAAACTATAGGATTAAATAGACTCTTACAGACTCTGCAGAACCTCTTCCTGCTTAAATGGAATACACATTGAGGACCCAGGAAATCAAGTGATGTGCTGAAAGGTCACATAAATCAGGAGGGACAAAATCAGAACCTGAACTCTTGGCTTATGACTGGTTCTGCCACCACTAACCAATATTTTGTTTTCCCTTGGGAAATGGACAGGTGTCATCATCAGCATCTAACCATAGCATCATTTCACCTGAGGCCTTTTTATAGACAAGATACTGGATCTAGACCTTGACTGCATATTGGAATCACCTGGGGAGCTTTAAAAACTATTGTTGTTTGGGTCCCCCATCTCTAGAGATTAGAGAGAGAGAGAGAGAGAGAGAGAGAGAGAGTGTGTGTGTGTGTGTGTGTGTGTGAGTGAGTGAGTGAGTGAGTGAGTGAGAGTGATGGAGGGCAGGGAGGGACTGCTTGGGCCTTGGGGTATTTAAAGCTTTTCAGGCACTTCTGTTGTGTTGCCAAGTTAGAGAATCACTGTTCAGAGCACTAGTTGTCCGTATCCGGGGTTCAGCTCTGTGGGAGTTATCTACATCTCTGGGATGCCCCTGGCCCAGTCCCTCCTGACTTCCTCTCTTCACTCCCTGCTTCGTGATAATTTCACTAGGCCACTGATGATACTAACAGAAGGCTAGTAACAAAATATGATCACAGTTTAGTTTTCCTCCTGAAGCATAATTTTAAGACTTGTTGATTCGGATATTGTTTAGTCACTAGAGATCAATATCTAGATAATGTATAGGTCTATGTGATAAACCACTCTTTCTTTCAGATTTTTATGCATTTGTTTTGTTTCTCTAACAATTTTATTTTATTAAATATAATATTTAAAAGGCTTGTTTAAGGGAATTAGTTTGCTGTGTTTAAGTCGTGGGTCTTGAGGAAAAATTTGCCGAGGAAACCATCTTTTTCTTCTTTTTTTTAAAAATTGAAATGTAGTTGATATTACAATATTATGTTAGTTTTAGGTGTACTATGTAGTGGTTTGACATTTGTGTACATTCTGACATGTTCACCATGATAAGTCTGGTAACCATCTGTCCCCATACAGAGTTATTACAATATTGACCATATTCCTAATGTTGTGTATGACATCCTCATGGCTTCTTTATTACTGTAGGTTTATAGCTCTTCATCTCCTTTGCCTATTTTGGCCCCGCCCTCCCCCGTCTGCCTACCCTAAACACCTTCTCTTCTTTGTTATTAGTAACATCAGCAGTGGGTATCTTGGTGGCCCTGCATCCTTCGTGCGCCTGTGACCTTGCCAGAGTCTTCTGAGGAGTGGTTGGAAGCACAGCTGTGGGGCGGAGGTGGAGGGTACAGGGACACACGTGCACCGTGCCCTGTGCTCGTTCACTCAGCATTTTGTGGTCTCCATTCTTAGGCACAGTGTATGTAATAGGTTGACTTTACTAGGTGCTTCTCTTTTTGACTCACTGGTATCATTATGATATCTAAAATTTGTCATGCTTTGTAGTTTGCTTTTATTTTCCCAGTCTTTGAAAACTTAAAAAACAAGGTGTCTTAAACATGCCTTTGTATTTATTTTAAAATGTGTTAATGTCTATGAATTCCCGTTTGCAGTTCTATATAAACATAAACCTGCTTAAATAACTCAGGTGGAGAATGGAATGTGAGTTGTTAGTTTTGTGCTGTTGTTTATACAAGACATCGCACTGCAGTAGGAGGTGGTATTCATTTTGATGAGGAATAATTACAATAATGCTATTGAGACAGATGCCTCCAATTGACTTTATGGAGCACAGCCTAATTAACTTTTAGTCTTAATGGGATGTTAGCAGTGGTAAGGATGATCAGGTTTCCCTTTAAGCAAATATCAATTATGCCGAATTGAGTCAGCTGTAATCCACTCAGCTGCTTCTAGGCCTTCCTCAAGATATGGACAAGCCAGAGGCAAAGATGAGGTGACTTAGGGATTACTGATTAGGTTTCCAGCTGCAGCTTGTGGGGCATTCACTTGTATTGGACTCCGTTCTATACTGGTTAATACACTCACCCCTCAGTGTCCCGCATGGGACAATTTTGACTTTGTAGCCAGAATGCAAGTGCTAAACTTTTACTAGATTAAAACGGTCTTGGTAGGTAATTAGGGCTTTGCTTTTGTGTCCCACTCCAGGCCCAGAGTTAAAGGAATTAATGGATGTATCATGATAGACTCACTATGAATGCTGATGAAATGCCAGTTTTGGTGTCTACTATTGGGTCACTGTCCCACTGCCCCCATTCAAATGCTTCCTTTGCTTCCTTTGAAGTCTTTTCTGAATGAAGGTAGAGCCTCAGACCTCAACTTCAAATACTTTGTTCTTTGGAGCTCTTTTCTGGATGCAGGGACCTTCTTAAAGATGTAAGTAAACGTAATCTCCTATGTTTGGGACTCTTGCTTTATCAAGCATGTGCCCGCCTTTCTGCTGTGGAGCAGGGCTCAGAAACACAGGCACCAGCTCCCTGGCTGGCGCCAAGGTCGTGAAAGAACTGCCACCATGCATGCCATTTGCTTGTCACCTGAGGAGGAAGAGGAGCAGCCAGCTGTAGGGTCAACTTCACAGTGCTTGTGACCTCAAGGAGCCTGTTGTCGAAAACACCGGTCAATTCCACTGAAGGGCCTAGAAGGTATCAGCCTCACACTCTTGTGTGTTAACCTGTGCTTATGTATGTGCATGTGTTTGTGCCTGGTGAGCAGTGCAATTCTCTGCAAGGTCATTTTTTTTCCCCTTCATTTAAAAAATATTTTATTTTATTTTTAATTAATTATTTATTTGGCTGTGTTGGGTCTTTGTGGCTGCGCACAGGATTTTCTCTAGTTGCAGTGAGGGGGCGCTACTTTTCGTCGCAGCACGTGGGCTGCTCATTGCGGTGGCTTCTCTTGCTGCGGAGCACGGGCTCTAGGCACACAGGCTTCAGTAGTTGCAGCACACGGGCCCAGTAGTTGTGACTTGTGGGCTCTAGAGCGCAGGCTTCAGCAGTTGTGGCGCACGGGCTTAGTTGCTCTGCGGCATGTGGGATCTTCCCGGACCCAGGATGGAACCTGTGTCCCCTGCATTGGCAGGTGGATTCTTAACTACTGCACCACCAAGGAAGTCCTAAAAAACAATTTACTGTACAGAAGCTGGTGTGAGTTTGTTATAAGCCACCACGTGGCTGTGAGGGCTCCACATGTTCACATGTTCGTCTGGGTACTGTCTGAGGTGGTTGGTGCCGGTCATGGGCATCTATTGAATGCTGAGCTGGAATGTTGTTTTCTGTGCTTTGGTTATAAAATTCATAAAGTGGTGAATCAGTTTGATATACTTGGAGCTAAATTTGTCTTGTTTGTACTTTGTATCTAAATGATAGTGTTGAAGCAAGTAGCAGGGATGCAAAGCCTCCCTTCTAGAGTCTTGGTAGGGAAGGATTTCAGAAGGGAGTGGAGCCACAGTCCTGTTACCCCCATCCTTAATACTGTTGCATCCACTGCTGCTATCTTTTTTGTTCCGGGTTCTATCATCTCCACTTAACTGCATGAGTGATGGTGTGTACGTGTGAATGTGAATATAGTTTTATACGTTGCAGTGTATGCATGTGTATTTTAAAATAGTCTATAAGCCTTTCCAACATATCTGTACTCTCAGCTCTTAGGGCAAAGCTCTAATTTTATGGTTACTAGTTGAAAAATGGATTTTAATATACTGAAAACAGTATATTTAGAAAACAGTTCAGAAAAATTTTCCTATTCTATACCTGCTGGAACTCTTGTTCATAAATGATATTAACATAGAACTCCTTACCCTGTTTTGAAGTATTTTTGTGATTGTTAACTCGCATGAGGCAAGCCACCCAATTCATCTAATGTTTGCTGAGGATGTAGGATTTGTCAAGAAGCCTTGTGCAAAAGGCTCAGAGGTGCAGAGGTAACAACTTTTGAAATACTTATAATGTACAAGTCTGGACGCGTGTTCCTATGTTTATTCGCCTGACAGCTCAAAAGGCACAACTGCAAACAGATATAAAATGTATACCCTATGAGGATGCTCTTTTATAACAAAAATCCTTAAGGGTTTGTAGCATAAACCGTTATGGCAGGTGTAAACCTGAAACCAACATTCAAAGTGTGGTTAGAGCAGCCGTCCAAAGTACAAAATTAAAGGGCCAGATACTACTATAAGGTCTATTTAACAGACCCATTTTACAGATGAAGCGTCTGAGGCCTTTTACTTTAGGGTCTCTTAGCAGTATCTCATTTGTGATTTCGATTTGCATTTCCCTAACGACTGACGATGTTGAACATCTTTTCATGTGCTTGTTGCCACCTGTACGTTTTCTTTGGAGATGTGTCTGTTCAAATCCATTACCTTTTTCTTATTGGATGGGAGTCATAGGCAATTGTGAGCACAGAGTGAAAGAAAGGCCTCTTAAGTTTTTCTGCCAAATTATTCTGTAGAGTCGGTACTGAAAGTCACTCTCAAAAAAAGAAGTAATAATAGCAACAACCTTTATAATTTACAAAGTGGTTTTAAATATCCTGTTTCTGATGCTAGCATCCCCCAATACCCTGAGAGGTAATTATAATCATTCCCTATTATATACAAAAGAATAAACAGACTCTAGGGTAAAATTTTGCATTTACAGGTAATTTTACGGGGAAATGCTCATGGTTTTCAATAGGGTCCCAAAGGAGTACCCCAAAAGAGTACAGACCTGCTGTTCTAGAGCTTAACTTCTACCATAAGATCACAGACATGTGAGGGATTAAAAAATATGATGCCATTACCACTATACTCCACTATATTGTCTCCAGGGCCATGGCTATGAAGTTAGTATCTCTTCCTGGAAGGGG